TGCAGGTCCGCTCCCCCGGCCCGGGCCGAGGCGGCGTTCGGGGGTTAAAGGAAAAACTGTAAAGCTGCAGTTACTAGTGCAGCTCTAAACGGTACAATAGCGAACAGAGCTGCTGAGCGTGCAACAAGTGTCACTATTAATATGCAATTAGTCAAAGCGTCACCGAAATTCGGGAAGAAAGAAAACTCCTTAGCGCCAATTTAGCGCGAAGAAGCAGGCGTTTCCTTTGATTGCAGCGCTGGGGGTCAGGAGGAGAGTTCCTCACCTCAGGCACACCTGACGCTGGTTCTCTTGTCATATTTATACACAAGTGTTACAAAGATGACAAATACAATAATTGGTTCCTATTTCTTCACCTAGTATGCAAACTAGAAGACCAGCTCAGTTCTTTTCTCCGCCTCTGTCTTTCATGTAGGTGCTATAATTTGGGTAGGGGGCTTATGGGTGGGTGGTGGTGGGGACCCTGGGCCGAATTCCCTTTCCCCTAGTTTCTCAATATTTCGGTGTTGGTAATTGTTCGCTATGTGCCTCAGGAAGATCAGGATGCTGCGGGAGGCAATGAGTATCCTCCCTTTCTGCAAAGTCTGTACATAAGGACCTTGAAGTGTCTCATAGCTCCTCCTTGTTATCATGATGTGTGGCAGGGGCTCATTCTAAGAATCGTTAGCCTTCTACCTAAAGTAACAATGGACAGTTTCTTATTACACATAAGGAGGCTTTCGTTACAAGCCTATCTTTTTTTGCTACAAAAGGGTGACATGGGAACTCAAAGAAATTACCTGCTATGCTCTTTAAAACATGCATAAAGCATTTAAACATATTTTGTCCCACATTCATTCTTCAACATTCAGAGGCTGTTTTAGCAGGAGCTTCACAGACATCTTCCCCTTGCTCAAGAGTTTAGATCCCAACAGATCCCAATAAAACCCCTAAAGCTTGTTTACATCTAGAATTGTCTTAAATATATATCCTCCTATGCACGTTTTAGTAGAACACTAACACTGCTTTGTATATTAGCATGTAATACACACCACAAACTGTTTCAATTAACATTTTGACTAGACATTTTGTCTCTCGAACTTAATACACCTGCATTAAAAAACGCTCCAAACTGAAGCCAGGCTTTACTAGGCCACAAGTCTTTGTGGACAGTTGTAGTTTGATGGCTGCCCAGCTTCGCAGTAGACATGCTGTCAGTTGCAGCTCCTCAGCCGGTATCTGAAAGGCATTGCCCTCAGCCTCCGAGAACAGGGACGCACTCCCAGCACTGAGCGTCATCAGTCAGCTTTAAAAATCTGAGCATCAGAAACTTCAATTTCACTGCAGAGCAAAGGATGGAAGGCAGCAGGTGCCTATTCCAGTTACTGCCACTATCCTCAATGTCGAGTCCTACACTGAACTTTCCATGTGCATTCAGACTCCTGAAGCTGGTGTTACACCTTTTCCTCTTCTCTGACAGAAATCCAAGTGTATGGCGAAAAAAGCAGAAACAAAAGGAATGTCAATCTTCCACCTTCCTTCCTTATGGTCACAAATCATATAGCGGAATTCAACTAACCAAGCTGTCTCAACAAAACTGAAAGGAAACACCTTTGGAATAAACCACGTTATCTCTGGACTTGACCATGTTCTTAGAAGGTAACAGAATGGCTGTTGATTTCCCCATGCATGTACAGATTTTATTTTAATAAAAATATCTACAGACACACAATTTTATGTACCTGAATCATTCATTATTCTTTTGCAATTTCTCACACAGCATCTTGCAAAATTTATTGCTGGGAATATTGGTTACACTACAGTACTTCAGATCAAGTACTAAGATGTCAGGATCTTTCCATAGAAATATTTCCATTGAGAAAAAAATGTTATGAAAGTACAAATTTCTGAAAGCCTTTAATAAAGGACCTGTAACTGAAGACTGAGAAAAGTAGATTAATTACAGCAAAGTTTCTACCTACATAAGCTCAGAAAATAAAAATCTTATCAGTACTTTTAACAAAACAGAGGTAGACAATAATAATTAACATAGACACACTGGGCAACTTATATTTTTCACAGTACATTTAAAAGAAAATGTGATTTTTCTTTGCATAAGAAAAATTGTGATGACTCTCTACAGTATTTAAAAAGACCTGATGTAAAGAATGGAAGAATATTTTAAAGAAGTTTTTTGTTTGTGCACAGTCACTCCCTTTTTAACCTATAATCTTTTAAGATCACCACAAATCCCCGCTGACTTAGGAAATGAAGTTGCCCAGACCTTCTTCAGAGAAAAACTCCAATATTAATAGGATTTCAACCTACAGTGAAGTGTTCTACACTGCCATGAAGTATCACCCACATATTAATTCCCAGGGTGTCACCCTCTATACTAGACTGGAAATTCTGAAGAGGATTCTATTTTGTCTATACAACATGGAAAAAATGGCAAATTCCTATGTACTGAACAGTCTTTCCTTAGATGAAAAGAAGTGGCGCTTGCAAAGGTAACCTGAAATGAGAAAAATTTATTTTAAAATTTTCCATGACACTTTACAGTTAAATAAAACCTGATGAGTGCTCTCATTCCCTCGCACTCAACACAAAGCCTACTGTAACTTTTTTCCAAACCTTGAAAAAGAAATTAATTCAAGGCTTTGACCAGAGAATTCATCAGCTAAAGAGAGTAGGGTTTTTACCTTATCCAAAAGTCTGTAGAGAAGGCTTAAAAAAAATTCATTAGAAATACGTGAGCATTCGAATACACATTCTCTTTGAAATTCTCTACAAGTAAAGGTCTACCAAAAAGTTACTTTGTCCAGTTCTATCTTACTCTCTACTAACATGAATAGGCTGGATAAAACTAACCAGGTGGCTTTTAAAACTGTGTTTGAAACAACTTTTAGACCCTCATTAAGTACAGAGATTATCAGAGACTTCCTCCCCTTCATGATTACCTTTTACTGTATATTTCAACTGGAATACCATTCAGTCTCAGCCAGGGTGTGTGGAATGTAAGTTAAGAGGTAATTTTAGGGCTTCTGTGAGGACAAAAAGGACTTCATCCTTCAGAGACCAAGTATTTTCCACGGCTAGTTTTATTCTCAATTATACCACAATCAAGTGTTGGCAATTATAGTCTTAAAAGCTACGAAAGCAGGATTTCAAACCAGCAACAAATTTAGGATCAACTCTATATTAAGTTACAAGTCATTGTCCTATGGAGACCTTCTCTTGAATGCTTAATGTTAGCAATTTTCACTATACATATTCAAGGTATGCTCTATTTAAAATATCAGCGAAATTTTGTCTAAGGGACTCATCAATAAATGAAGACATTTATACACTTAATGGAACCATAATCTTTGTTTTCACTGGTCTCAATTACTATCAGAAGAAAAAGCTTCTTTCTCACTATATGAAAGTGATGGCAAACAAACAGGCAGAATTAAATACACAAGCGTGTGGCATTAAGTGCATGGCTTAAGTAGGGTTTTGTTTGGTGTTTTATGTTGTTGTTGGCTGTGCTGTTTTTTGTTGTTGTTGCTGTTGCTGGCTGGGGTTTTTTTCATATTCTTTTAAAGTGCTTTGTGTGATCCACCACCAAAACATGCTTGTGTAAAGACAGATGCGAGCACAGCTGATACAAAAATTAAGCATTCACACTATTGCTTTGACTTGAATATTAAAAAAAAAATGCAAAGGCCCATATATTTAGATACAGATTAGAAATGTTTCTACATCTCTTATATACAACCAAGACCACATTACACTCAGATTCTTAGAACCAGCCTGTTCTGATACAGTTTACAAAGTGACAAAGTCCACAGTAAACCTATTGCTTTACTTTCATAATGTAAAGGCATCTCAAATAAGAATATGCTAACAGTTTCAGAGATAAGATGACTTAAATCAGTAAAACAAAAGCAACTGGGCATATCAACCTTTTGTCTCTTCGAGGCTTAGTTCACAAGCTCAGGCTGTACATTTATTTTTCGAAGGACATCTTCTGGCATACAAAAGACAGGATTGACGGCCTTAATTTGTTCTTCTCCTAATAAAGATAGTCCAGCAATTCCAAATAAGGTGTGAAATGGATCCACCTGGGAGAAGAAAGAAAGTTTGTGTCTGTTTCCAAAAGTCAATCAGCTTTTCGTTTGTATGGAATGAAGCTTTTGTTTGCTAGCAAGCAAATCTCCATGGATGGAGAAGACAATGCAACCAAACAAACCTTCATTTGTGCCGACAGGCAAGACAGTTTCCACAGCATGCATTTACAATACTACGATTTACTCAATGTTTGTCGATTGCTGCTAAGATGATTTTCAACTCTGAATTTAGCAGGAAGCACTCATATGTCTCCATTAGCATGCAGTGTCATAGGGTAGCAGAAGCTAAGATAATAAAAATTTTAAAAGTAAATTTGATCATCTACAAGTACCACTTCCATAAATTCCCCATTTGCTCTTCAGCAACATTGTAATACTCTTTAATGGTGTCTGAATACAGCTGTGCTGTAAAGCCTTGAGAGGAGAGCAGCAAACTACTGTGCTAGAAAATGAAAGGAAAAAATACAAGGAAGAAAAAACCAGAGGAGACAGGAGCAGTTATTTGGTATGCAAGTACTCCTTCACTGTACGAACCTTCCCTAAAAGCAGCTATCACCACATAACTGCAATAGACTATGAAGTCTCATGACAAAAGCATCCTGTCAGTGGAGTTAATTAGCCATTCTACAAAATCCTATCCGAAAGTACCTGTGCTGTCTGGTGCAGTGTATATCCTGTTTGCACTAGTGGAACCTCTGGATCTCATTGCAAGGGTTCTATGCTGCAGTAAACTAAGCTGATAACAGCCATATACAGGATCTCCAACCATTGATCACAGCCTAGAAGGTTCAAACTACACTAGCACGGGAAGTCTTGCTCCTCAATGGTTTGGCAACATCACAGGTGTGGTCAAAGCTCACGCATGTTTACTTGCTCCTGTCCAGAATGAGTACATGGGCCATTAGAGGAGGGGTAAAATAAATAAGTATGTAGAAAAAAAACCCGACCAAAAAAAACCAAAACCAAACCCAACACCTATACAATTTAGGAATGGCAAGGCAGAATTTACTTCTGTAGATGGACAGGACCAGAAGGGGAGACAGTTCCCAAGGGGAAGCATGCAAATCAAGTTACATATTCAGCCTCCTGATGAACAATATGTACGTTCAGGGAAACCCAGATTCCTAGAACAAGTATCTACTGCTATGTTGCCTGCTCCTTTCTGCAATTTTCTTTAAAGCAAATAAAAAAGGAAAAACCTGCTGAATTACAACTAAGAGCTAATAAGTACAGCTACTAAGTGAAGTTATTGAGAACTAACTGCTTGGAACTTAAAAAAAGATAACAGAGCTGCCTTATTGTCAAGTGGTTCAAAACCTGAAATACAATCACAGTGTCAAATCAAAATATTAGAACCTAGAACTAATTAAAAAACAAAACAAAAACTAAATACCTCCCCCCAAAAAAATCCAACCCCCCAAAAAAACCAAAACCACCCCCCCAAAAAAAAGCCAAACCAAACTAATTCAAACCAACCAACAAAACAACCCAAACACACACCCACACACCAACAACCCCACACACACACACAACCCACCCCAAAACAACAGGATCTGTTAGGAATCAGTTTTTGCAGGAACAAAGCAAAAACCTGCAGCCATCAACATTTCTATGTCAGCATCCACTTCAATGAGTAAAAATAATACAAAATGACTGCTAACATAATATGCAAAAACTCTCCCAAAGGTGCCTGCATTAGATACAGAGGAAAGGCTCTGCACAGTTGCTCTGCCAGCAAGACAAACAGCTCAAGTTTAATCTTGAAGCCAGAAAAGCATTAAGACTTTAAGTGTTAGGCTTTTCTTGGAGAATTCTGAAAAGGGAAAAAGTCTTTCTGTAAGCTCCTTAGAAATACAAAAACCTTCCCATTTTAAGAACACCAGAACACTTTGCAAATGACAGACCAGAGTAGAGATTTATCTGCCTCCCCCAACTGCGAATCATTTATCAGCTTGCAAAGAAATAGAAAGTTACATCAGTTTTTAATGCATTTGTGACGAAAGGGAAAGACGTGGCCAGCATCAATAAAACTAGCTAAGACTTCCCCCTTGACAGTTGACAAATAAGCAGCCAAGTGTTCTATAGGAATTGCACTGAGGTCTCATAATACTTTTATCTGTCCAGCACCCTTAAAAGATACAAACTTTATTTGCCGTTTTACCTGGACAATCTCAATTAATTCCGCTTGAAACCAGAGAGAACAAGACCAGCTAAACCGTAATTGGTCTCTCAACCAAGCAGAAAATCCATACCACCAGCTTCTTCATAATGTTATGACAAAAGCTGCTTCCTCCCTCACCTAGACAAATGTCAGTAAGAGCATTTATTCAGTGGCTGGGCTGGCACAGAATAAAAGTTAGTGTATAAGGATTCTTAATAAAACCTTACGACTCATTCAGATCAGGCAAAACCACCAAGAGAGTTGAAGACTACTTAACCTGCACTGGAGTCTAGTTTGCTTATTATTTTACAAAACAAAACAAATCCCCAGATAACCCGCACATCCCAAACACCCCCGCACCAAACATTTTTACAGAGATCTTCCAAGTGGTCTTGTGAGAAATGATTTGCGTGGCATGTGTTACAGGAACCAAACCAGAATTTGTAAGGAATGGCAACTGACTTCAGTGGGGAATACTACGGTGCAAGTGCAACATAAAACACGTGCTCCACAACTAAGCCTTTGAAAGCAACCCTACTCTGTTCTTTCCTTCAAAGTAAACTGCAAGCTCTACAAAACGCTTACACCTGGATCATGAGTTGAGTTACACTCAAACGAGAAAACATACTTTTTCAGTTGAAATTTTCAATTAAGTATGTTTTATTCAGTAAAGGATTATTTACCATATCTCCTGGTCTGTCTGCAAATCCTCCAGTCTCCTCATCCTGGCAAGCCAAAATAAAACAGCGCAGTTTCTCTCTGTCAATCCAATGTAACCTACCAATCATCTTCAAAGATGCTAGCACCCACCATGAATAACATACATCAGGTAACTGGGAAGCAGAGAAGCAGATTGTTACTTGATTTTGTTTTAAACATGAAGTTGCAAAATGTATTGGTGATGCTGCAAATTACTAGGTGTGCTGTCATAATACCGTTGGCAGAGAAACAACACTTAAAAGAGTTTTTGGGTAAGAGAGAAGAAAGCTGTCAGATGCAGTCTCTTTTCAGAGGACTTCCCTTTTTCAGGAAGGGAAGGTCTCTTTTTCAAACCTCTTCCCTTCTTCAAGAAACAAAACCACAAGGATGTGATTTTGAAACAGCCTTCACCAGCTGTAGGAGAGGCTAAAAAAACACAGCACCTTTTTCAGGAGCACTTCATATCAACCAGTTTTTGTTTTTTTTTTTTTTTTTTTTTTTTTTTTCTTTTCTTCAAAAAAAAAAAAAAAAAGTCTGCTGGTTAGGGATTTGCCAGTGGGATTATTCTAGGTTACACAATTTCCTAGGGTGAACACTATTACACCTACGATTTAGATCCAGTAAAACAGTGGGTTTTGTACAAATACTACGGCAGAGATCATTCCAAATGTAGGAAAATATTCAAGCCCTGATTTAACAGGATACTGGTTCAAGTGGTCAGCAAGACATACTTCAGTATGTGTACTTTCCTAAACTGAGGACTCAAACTAAGCACAGCTAAGGACTGCATGGCAAGTGTTAGTGACAAAATGAAGAATCAAAATGAAGGCCTGACTTCTTTGAAAAGTTTACTAAATAGTTCCTAGAAGCCATGACATTTTCTAGAAGTACTTCAGTTTTAGAAAAAATCATCTCTACTGAGGTGTGAACAAGCAGAAGAAGCCACCCGATACCTTCTCTGGTCGTCCGTTGAGACCTCCAGAAGGTAACTGACGTTCACAAAGCCACCAACCCAGCAAGTCGACATTTATTTGATGCAACTGGTCTGTTATAGCCAGAAATCCTGTGCAACAATAGATCTAAAATTACAGACATAAATTTTTTGTGTATTTGAAAACTAAGTATAGTTTAGCAGACTAAATGCAGGAAGATGTCAAAGCAGAAATGCAGTCATACAAACACAATACAAAATAAGCACACATTTCAACTTTTAGTTTCAAGTGAGTTTTACTTTTTCATTAGAAAAAAGTGTGTTATTGTTTCAGTTGCTTTTGTATAAAAGTACCAGTTACACAATGTAATTACAGAACAGTAAAATTTTACTAATATAAGACATCAATGCAAAGTTTGGAAAAAGATCAGGCAGAGACATACAGTTTTATTTTAAAAAACACTCTCAAGCCAGAGTACTCAAACTCTGATTTCTGTGGGCTGGATATGGCCTTTATGACAATTTTGCATCCAGCCTATGGTTTGTTCCTGTATGTGCCTCTTAATCTAAGGCTTGTGGACAGCAACTAAAGACCAAAAGAATTCTCTTGCAGAAACAGGTTAACCCTGATCGTTAACTGTCCTGGTAGTCCCACATACACTTAGTCACATCAGGCTTACTTTCAATGTGCCGTATGTGCATTGATTAATTTCTGTTCTTTTTTTCCTGGGAAATAACATTTACAGTGCAACAGCACACTCTGGTCATGTTTCATGCGGTCACTAAGAAAGCAGCCAAGCGCACATGGCAAGAAACCAGAGTATCAACTGAAGCCTGCTCATAATTGCCTCTTCCTAATAAAACACACTCCGAAAAAGCCAACAAAACACTCAACAAAAGCACACATCACAGGGATGTGCCCATCCAAGAATACTGCAAAATAAATGTGATATTCCCAGATAAATTTTGAACTACTGTGCAGGCGAAGGAGTTGCCCTTCACAGCATTTTAAGTACAACCTATCTAACCCTCACAAGAAATGCCAGCTGTGAACAGAGTGGGTTCAGCCTCTTAATCCGACTTCCTTGAACACCGTCTAGCCATTTAGCCCGTATGGGCAATGCTACTGCAGATAAAACTGGTACACAGGGTATATGTACCATTTTTTTTTCCTGATTTAAAAAAAAAAAAAAAAAGGGAGGGGTAGAAAAAAACCAACACTGTTTCTCAACAAAATACCTCTAGTATTTCCATGTGCTGAGGTGAATCCTGGCTATGGCATCGCTCACCATAATTATGCAAAATACACAGGTATAGGCAGTATATGATGCTTGCTAATTTAAAACATTTCCATATCAAGAAAAACTCACCTGTCCTGCGTGTGACTCAGAACCTGGTCTACAACCAAATCCTCCATCAAAGTTCATACAGGACAAGACAAATTCTACTGCTTTCTGCACATCAATAGCATCCAGTTTTCCCTGCAAGTCAGAAAAGCAACCAATGTCCTTTATATTCTACCAAGCTCATTAACTACAGAAAATTCAGCAGTACCAAAGAGAAGATTCTGTACTCGTGCAAGTAATCATTTAGGACTTACCAGAAGTGCAAGAGTTGCTGCAGCACAGAAGGAGAACCTTGTATCTACTTCTCCTAGAATGTAGAGGGAAGGGAATGAAATAAGAATGTTTCTATTAACAACAACAAAAATACATTTAAATCACCACTGAAAATGTGGAACAAAATGTTAAAATACTAGGTTTTACACTGAACAAGAAAAATCAGCCAAAAACTGCCCCCGCACTGTTTCCTTTTCCAGCCCATGGATTACTTCTTCAGTAATTTAGAAAGTGTACATTACAATTGATCTGTATGTTTACTGCGCATAAAAGTGAACAACTCATTTTGAGCTGGTGTATAGTCATACATATATCCAAATTAATTCAACTAGCGGTAATTTAGAAACAACTACATAGTTTTAGAGTTTATCTGTAGTGCTCTACTAGATAATTGCAGAGCAGTGGACTCAATACTACTTGGAAATGACTCTTGATCTGCCTTAAATCTGAGCAGAAGTAGAAGCCATTTTTGTTTTCAGAGAAAGACTGATGAAAGTTGCAAGGGGTTTTTTGCATATTTATACCTGGAAGCTGAACCAAAAATGCTACACCTATAGTAGAACGATTGATCGGCAAGTCCATACCAACATAACTCCCTTAGCACAAACTCTGAGCAATTTATACCTGAAGTGAAAAATTTAAAATTGAACCCAGTTGCAAACATTCTTTTTTTTTTGGTCAAACCAATGCAAGACTTATCACGTTAAGAAATCCACAAGCCGAAACAGAAGCTAATGAGCACAAAACCAGTTTTTCTCATTCCCATACAGTGAAAGATGCTTTCACAGCTGACATGGATAAAGTTCATAACTGACTGCCATTAAATAGCAAGCATAAAACATTCCTTATGGAATAGCATACCTAGTGTAGCAAAGTACTGTTAAGTTACAAACGCCCAAAGGTTATCTTCTTTAAGAGCTGGACAATTCATTTTTAATACAAGAATGGAACTGAAGTTTAGAGTATTTAGGAAAGGAATGAAACGCAGCTCTGTCCTTCACACCACCTCCTTTTTTATAACTCACAAAAGTGTTCACATACAACACATAAAAGACCATCCAAGGAAACTTATGTTCACAGACTTACACATCTCAACCCAGTCACTAAATTTTAAAGATCTAAAAGTTACCCCATTTGTCTCCAGCAAATGATCCATCTTCATTTTGCAAGCTCTGTATATATTCTACAATTTTATTTACATCAACAACATGGAGACTATCATATAATATAAGAATCTGGAGAAAAAAAAAGACACAGTAACAATCAAAGAGAGGCAAAAATTTTAAAAAATTATTTTTAAAAAATCCTGGAATTTAGAAAAGACTGTGAATACTATTTGGTAAGGTTTATTAAAATAAATTTCATTCACTGCAGTTCATCTATCTCTGACTAAAAACTTCAAGAAATTCTCAAATGCAAGTATAGGCAATTCAAGCTGAACTCTTCCATGCTTTGTTACATTCCAACTTCCGGCTCCCCTTTCAAAAACGTATTCAGGTTTATTTGTTTTTATGTTAGCATTATGTAGAGCAGAGTTTTGATGGTTAATTTTGTACTGGGATAATGACATCCTAGACTTAGAAATTTGTAGTGTGTTCACTCTGCTACTCAGACACGTGCAAGTGTAAGTTAAGCAATTAGTTACTAATACCACTTACAGTCCAAGTCTGTCAGCAATGATTAGTTTTGAATTATAAGATTTTTATTTACATTCAATTTTTAAATATAATGAGTAGAACCAAATTAGTAATTTAAGAAAAAGCCTGAACAATATGATTAGACACAAACTGTACAGTCAATATATTCTGGACGAAAAATAAAGGTCATAGTAGGGAATACAAAGTTTCCTGAGGTAGCACTGATGTGAACCAGCAAACCCGTACGACAATGTCATGTGAAAACAATACTGTTCCTGAGCCCCAGCTGGCTTTGTGGTTTTACTCATAACTCGCATAATTTGTAAAGAGAGTAATTAAGAATTAATTTTAAGTAGCATAATAGAAAGAATAGTTGAAACTAAGCAATATTGTAATGTCGATCCTGAAAAATACCAGCAACTGTGACTCTGAACACCTAGAGTTAACTGGAATCTTTCAATTGTTAACTAAAATTTAAGTCTTATGGAAATGCAAAAAAGAATGTACAACTCCAACATAAAATATGTAATCATAGCATGCTCCTTAAAAAGCGAATCTGAACAAAGTACTACTAATTGTGATCAAAGGAAGACGTGACACGAGCCTTTAAACATTCTGGATACATAGATAGGACTAACCGGTGTTTGTTCACTAAGAATACGCATGCTCATTAAGACACGCTGGTTAAGTTTACCACAAAAATTTTACATCAGCACTCGCTAACGCTTTTCAGCTTCGCAGATCTATGGCTGCATTCAGTTAGGATGAAAATATCTCCTAGTAACATAAAGTGGTTATTTAAGAACTAACATCTCTAATTTGTAAAAGTAAACAACCTCAAATTGTATCCCCTTCTCCTTATACCGGATTAGAATTTGTGAAAGAAGGTTGACTGGATAGTTTGGAAAAGCTCAAACGTCATAGCCTAAAGAAACTTTAGTTTCCTGGTTCTCAGAGTAATTCCAGAACGAAAGCGGTGATAAATATCAACTTTAGAGCAGATCATACACACCAACACTCACCACTGACCCAAGAAAACAGCATTCTTCTGTCCTACCTAAGGGTTTCAAATCTAACACCTTAAATCGAACACACTTTCTTCCTAAAACAGGATGCTATCTTATTTAATTGTAACACCATTTAAAGACTGCTTCCGTACGACTGGACTAGCGATACGTTACGCAAGCCATCAGGCAATTGTTCAGAAGCATTTGAGCCTTTTTGGTATTTTTTTTCCACAACTCTTTGCATGAGAAGAGAGGGGCGGGGAGGGGGGGAAAAGGACACGAGATAATGAGAAATTAAAATCTATAATGGAGATAGTTACGGTGAAAAACTAGGATAGAGAATTACTTTTTCCTCAGGGGAAGAGTACACACCAAATAAATAAATAAAATGCTCAACAGACTGGTATAATTTTTAAATTATGTTCAGGGTTTAGGTTTTTTTTTTTTAAAGTTTTTAAGTTAAGACACAAAAAAAGCAGATTTGAGGAACACAACAAGAATTGGCTACTACAATGTTTCTTTTGTATAGGACTAAAGTGTAAACACACTACACATAATTATACATATTACATAAATATATAGTTTATATAAGTATTGCATAATTATAATTATGCTATAGCAATATATACATTAAAAAATAAAATCCAAAACTTTATGCTTATTCTGGTCGTACATATCTTTCACCTCAATGTGCACTAAGAACTTCTAAAATCCAAAATTATCTAAAAAAATCTCCAGTAAAACCTGTAACTAAGAAGTATTTCAAGATGACTGTTACAGAATTTATCAAGAATGCAGTCACCATTAAACGATCATTAAAAGCACAACATTCCCAGATCTGACATGCTTTTAGGAAATGATACAGATAAATGCTAAAGTTTTGTCCATTAGATTTTTTTTTTAATATGGTACTGAAATAGTTTTTGCCACTGGCATCCAACAGCACCTGGTTTGCAAATCTGCAGTCATCAAAATCATTAATTACAAATGTGGAGGTTTTTTTCTAAAATTACCCTGTTAAATTTACCTGGACAGCACTGAGGGTATACAGAAGATGCGGATCATGACCTATGCTGGCACTTATTCCGCCACACTCATGTTGACATGATTTGATGAATGCCAGAATTTCTTCTTTGTTCATTCGGTGCAGCTGCCCCATGAGATCCATTGCTGTCAGCCCCCAGTAAACACCACTCATCCTCAAATACTCCGACATACAGTATTCCTAAGTAGTGCATTATTTTAGTTCTTAATCAGATAAGCACATCATCAATATAGTCAAAATATATTAGTTAACATTTACAAACAGTTTATAACGTCAAACATCTTCCATCCCATTAACAACTTACTACGTATCAGCCACTCACGCACATTCAGTACATCATGCACGTGTGTATATGCACACGCATGCGTACAAGCACATACTACTTTCCCTTCCTCCCTTGTATTTTCTAGTTCAAAGCATCAAGTTCAATGCCAACTTTGACACATACAAGTAGTTAGGCACCAATTCACTTCAGATCATCAGTTATTATGCTGGCATCCAAACTACCAGTCAAATTACTACCCCAACTAGTCTCGAAAATAACAAGTCCAACATTTTACGAAACTTACTTCCAAGCACTGAAATTGCCACAACCTAAAGTTGCATTATTAGGAAGTGAAATCTCATATTGAATTCTCTTGCATTGATTACATCACCTATACCACTCATAAACATTATTTTCTACATGCAGTATTTTTTAAGCACAAGAGCAACAATCATAAGCAATAGTGCTTAGAGGTCTTTTTTGGATGGTACAGATAACTGCAACTTTTCTTCAGACATAAACAGTTATCAATGCTTTTCACCTGCTGGAACTGGAATCCTATTGTTGTGGGCTACGTCTGATAACCTATGACTATAAAACTGATGCTAGATAAAGTGTTTATTGAACCTAGTAAGCATGAAGCAGTGCTGTGGCAAGATTCAGTATGCTGTCGCATCAAAAGAGCGACACGTAAATGCAGCTATACTCCCTGTGCTTTCTAGCGGATAAAGAAGCAGCAAGCAGTTCCTTTCCCAGGTCTCAGAGTAATTCTAGAGCTAAACTGATAATCTTCAGGATTATGCTCAGATAATACATGCCAAAACTCATCACAGACCTAGGGAAATTAACAAAGACACCCTTCTTTTATACTGTGGATTGCAGGGCAAGAAACAATTAGCCCGTGAGCATGCATCTAACCCTTAACTCTGAGCTAGTAAATAAAGGTTGCTATCACTGTTAGTAAAACAACAGCTGTACTGAAACAAACAGATACCTACATAATCGTCCTTCTTTGTTCCATACGAAGCTATGTAGTCTGCATGCTTCTCCGAAAGTAACGTGCTCGGGGCATCGGGTTTTATTATAACGTCCTTTTGTGGCGTCCCCTGCAAAAGGTGCCAGCAAAACGTCAGTCGTGTTGCCAGTTCGAGAGGGTTTAGCAGCCAGGTACCAGTTAGTCAGCACCAGCAGCAGTAACTGCACACAGACATCTGTCTGCTTTGAACACGGGGCAGGTTTTATATCTCACATCGTCACTTTTCAGTCTGGCTAAATCCTTCCCAGGGAAAGCGAAGCCTTTCATAAGGCTGAGAAAAAAGTCACCAATTCGCCAGAAATCAACCGGAGCCCTTCGCGGCGCCCCGCCCAGGCCCCGGCCGGGGCTCCTCAGGCCCC